CTCGCGCGCTCGCTCGCCGACGCCGGCACCCTCGTCTCGTACGGCGGCATGGCGCGCCAGCCCGTCGCCCTGCCGACCGGCCTGCTCATCTTCCGGGACCTGCGCTTCGTCGGCTTCTGGCTGACCAGGTGGAACGACCGCGACGTCCGCGGCCGCCGCTTCGCCGTCGAGGACCTGCTCGGCATGATCCGCGAGGGCCGCTTCCGGGACGCCCCCGTCGACGAGGTCCCCTGGAGCTGGGACACCAAGGAGGACACCCTCAAGGACGCCGTCGCCGGCACGCTGTCTGGCTACAGGAAGGGCAAGGGCGTTTTCGTCTTTGGCGAGACGTAGGCGTCGGCATCAAGATGAGACAACAGTCGGCATGCCGAGGAAAGTGTACACTACAGTAAACAATTCAATTGAAAATGCGGGTGCCTGGCTCGCGTCATCACGGGCTCGGAGCATAACTCTATCCTTCCTCCAACACCCCGCGCCACCACCGGCCTAATTGCGGAACGCCTGCACGAGCTCGTGCAGCTTGTCAATGACCACGGGCGCAATGGCGCCCAGAGTATCCTCAATGACGCGGTCAAAGTACCGAATCGCCTCCTCCTCGCTGAGCTCGAGGTGGAACCTCTCCCGAACCTTGAGCACCGCCTTGTCCGGCTCGAACCTAATGTCGGGAATGGTTGGCATCGACCATGAGGCTGAACAAGTTGAGGATGAGGGTTGGAAGACTTGCGAAGCGCCGCATAGGCCAGGAAGCAGTACTGCTTGAACTGCTTGAACTGGTCCGAGTTGACGCCACCCATGCAGTCGACCATTTCCTTCGACAGCTTCATGACGGGTGCGAACGGCTTCGGATCGCGTCCGAGGATGAACCCAAAGTCAGCGTGGAAAAAGTGTCCATCGGGGGCCAACAAAAGGTTGTCGAGGTGGCGATCGCCAACACCCAGAATGTACGTAATCACACAGTAACCAGCACAGGACTTGACGTACGTGTCGAGCGTCTCCTGGCGCAGCCCGAGCGGCTGGCGGTCGTCGGGGTTGTTCGACTTGAGGTACGCCAGGGCGGGGTTGCTCTTGTACTTGGATGCAATGCTCTGGAAGCTGACTGAAGGCACAAATTGGGAGGCGCCGGCGCTTGTGCTCGTGGCCAGGATCTTGTAGGGCGATAATTTCAAGTCTAGGTTCTCTTTTTGGAGCAACTGGTCCATGAGTGTGATGATTTGAATGACCAGTTGGTCCTGACGCAGATCGTCTCCCATTTTGAAGATGATGGGATACTTCTTCCCCGTTGATGTCCTGAAGGTAACCTTGATCGGACAGAGCGAGGACTTGAAGACCGCCGTCTCTTCTGGAATGACACCTGTAATTTCGACCGATGGGTCGAGAGGAACGGGCAGCGGCGGGTCTATGGTGGCAATCTCGTTTTTGGGGTCTGCCAGGAAGTGTTTGACGCGCTCCGTCCTTCTTGCGATGGATTCGGAGGACATCTTGACTTCGCCTGAAATCTTGGAAAGGATGGCAACAAGTTCCGCTTGTCGCAGTAGTGTCTTTCGCGACGCCGCCCCATCGGGTCTCTTGACCAACTCGGTCATAAAGTCGTAAGCGACTTTGCGGTACATATCGCGGGTTTCCGGTCCTTGCTCGGGGCTGTTGTCGTCGCACTCGACCATCAGGTACCAGTGGAAGTAATTGCCGAGCATGAAATTGGCGGCGGCCCGAGAGATCAGGAAAGCAGCCAAGGATGAGTCTTGCGTGGCATCCTGGCCAGAGTTGGCCGAAATGTGCTCGTACTTGAGCGCCTGCACCAGCTGCAGTAGGTAGAGTAAAAGTTCACGATCGTCTGCTTGACGCAGTCGTTTGACAGCGTATGCGCGAACAATCTGACTGACGAAAGTAGGTCCCAGAAGCTCCAGGGCATCGTCAACATCGATCTCGATCCACCGCCCTAACACCTGGGCCGCTTGCTTGGATTCGCTCTGGTCTTGCCAGCTGACCGACTTGACGAATTTGGTGATCGCCCTCTTGTCCCTGGTCAGATGGTACCGGAACTTCCAGACCAGATCCTTCTCTTCCGTGGTGAGAACGTGAGTCGGCGAATATGACATGATGACGTTGAGCTCGTCGCGGACTTTGGCATTAGGCTTCAAGTCTTTGTCGAGAACGCCGTGTCGGTGCTGACTGCGGACGAGTCGTCGGTGTTTCGTCTCTGCGGGGTTGTCTTTGGCGCCAACCTCAGGGTCATATACCATGATCAACCTGCTGCTAAAGCCTGCTGCCGAGTCTCCGAGACCGTTGATACCCGGGCCGAACTGAACCTCCGGCACAGGTTTTAGAGACGCATTGGACTGTGAGCCGGACATGTTCTGCAGAGACGATATCGGCGGTGGCGGATACTCCAAGTCCGCAAACACAACGGGGAAATCAAATCGTGGCAGCTCGACGTTGAGCTGGAATCTGGATTGCACCCTGACATCGTCGTCTGCTGTGTGGTCGTGCTCTGGGTCATCAGCGGACAGTTCGCTGATCGCAGCCGCTCTCTGGCGTTGTCCTGCTCTGAGAGAGTCTTTTGCCGACTGCAGGCCCCTCTTCTCGAAGCCGCGGAAGACGAGTTGATCAAGCCAGTCCACTCTAGGGATCTCGCCCATCTCGTGCTTCTTGAACAGTTTCTCCATGCGTTCAAGTTCCTCTGCATCTGTATCAACGGCAGGCTTCACGCCTCTCTTTGAAACCCCCTTCTTCCGTGCTGTTGCTGGCGTCGTCGTGTTGTCGTGGCCGTCGGCCTGTTTGTGGCGGTGGATGTGGCATTTCTGGCGACCCTTTTGGACCTGGTTATCGCGATCAAAGAGCGGAAGTGTTGTGCCGCCGAAAGGGATCGCGTGACCTTGCGCCTCTCTGCCGCCTGCAGGAGAGAGGTCCCAAAGAGTGATGGCCAGACATGAGTTGAGGGGAAGGGTCGAGTATTCGATGGGCAGTGTGAGCCATTCGTTCCACCTTGTGTTTTCACGTCAGCGGGTAGTTCGAGCTTACTTCCTGAGTCGCGCCTACCTTCTTTCGGTACGGAACGACTTGTAAGCCGTCTGTACAGGGACTGTCAAGGGCTTCGAGCCGGCCCAGACTTGGACGGTGACGTAGAGATCAGAGTGCGAGCTATATCGTCAGCCAGGCCGCAGCGACCAGCAGCGCGGTAGGCGGGGCTCCATAACTACCTAGTATTAGAGCCAACGTGTCTGAGCTCGGCCTTTTCGAGCAAGGTAGACGGCAGCAGAGGGGTCTCGTCGCCCTCCAAGTTGATCCTAGAGAGGTCAGTGAACGGTCAGCTAAGCCAGGTAGAGTCGGAGCTTACACTCGGATGCTGACTGGGTAGTTCAGCGAGTCTGAACTCGCGAAAGAGAAAGAATCCATATCACCCGTGAGCCCCCATGGCAAATCCGGACATTGGTGTTGGACTAGGGATGGTAGTATCGACTGCTTGGGGTGGGCGCGGTCAATGAATCCGCGGGATGCAAGGCACGTACACCACGAGCACACATCAGGCGGGCGTCACTGATAAGATAAGAGCTCGCGACCACACGTGCGCCGGTACCTCTGGTGTACTTGACGCATGCGCGGTCGGCAGCATCACAATAGTGCCTGTCCTCGCTTGCGCTTTGTTCCTTTCAATACGAACGGCTACGTATTAGTCTCGGAAGACTAGCAAAGCTGCGAGATCAAGGTCAAGAGCTTTAGAGAGCAGTTTCCAAGTCGGACGCCTATTATCAAAAACCCAAGGTGGAGGGAGAGGTACGAGGATGGACATTTGCTGCCGTTGTTTGGCAGCGCAAATACCTACCCAACAAGGGCCGAGCAAGTACCCGTCCTCTGAGTTCAATGACTATATCACTACCTAAATAGGAAAGGTTTAAATGGGAATAGGGGGCCTTGCTAGCGGGGTACATTCATTGTACATGTACAGCATCGAGCCAGAAGAGGCCCCACCAACTTTAATGGCTCCTGTGGATTTGGTTTGCCCGTCGCGTCTCCCCACGAACGTTCGAGTCTTGACGCGACGCAGAAAGTCATCGGTGCGCTTCAACTTTTCGGCACCACCAAACAGCTAGCCCGAGAAGCCAACGCATGGCAGCCGTACACTATCCGCAGAACGCCTTACGATTCGATCTGCAGGCTTGAAAGGCACGCGCCTCACCACCATGCCTGTGAGCGCATCATCTTCAGGGGGCTCGTCCTCGCCAGCCGAATCCGAAAACGAAGGCACATCCAGCAACCGGGAGCGCTCGCTCGCCCTCAGGGATGGCCGAAATGGCAAGAGGAAACGCACCGATACTGCGCATGGGGCAGCAAGACGTAGGCGCTCTTCGTCTTCTGACGAGGACGACGACGACCAGAACGACCCCGACATGTACGATCCGGACCAGCCGATGGAGGACCGACGGCGCATTCAGAGAGGGTTCCGCGATCTCCAAAAGAATCTGAACGAGAACATGGAGGAATACATGCAGCCCAACTCGAAAGGCCTGCTCGAAACTCTGAGGCGCGCCCAGCAACTCTCCAGCGACGTGAAGCAGACGAACGAGGCGACCATAGACGCGCGGCTCCTGGTCAGCACAATCGATCTTTCCTATCGCAAGACGATGCGCATGGTCCAGGGCAACACCTCGCAAGGTGTCGACATTGACGAGTTTGTGTCCAAATGCATAACATACATGCGACACGGTGGGGGCATCGCCGACGACAACGCGCCAGCTCTGTCGAGCACGCAGCGCCAACGGCGGAGGAGAGGACAGGACGGGGATGACGATGAGAACGACGAAATGCTGAACTGGCCTCACCTTGGTCGCTTCGCGTGCCTGCAACACAACCGACGGCCCGCGCTGTCCGGCTTCCTGGTCGGACCTCTGTCGGTGGAGAAGAAGGTTCGCAGAATCACCAAGCGGACAGCACGGTTCCGCAGAGAGGACCTTGCCGAGACCAGACCTGAGGTGTTGAACGTAGACGAGCTGTCGAAGAAGGAAAACGACCTCACCTCGATCTGTGCCAAGATTCTGAAACAACTGAGGGAGGTGCAGAGGGACGCGCAACAGAGGTTGTCGGAGATCTTCGAAGCAAGGCAGAATATGCAGCAGAGCGACATGATGAAGATCATGCACGAGCATGGCCTGCGTGATACGGGTGGCGTGGATCTGTTGAGGTTTGTCGTCAACCCCATGTCGTTCGGCCAGACGGTCGAAAACATGTTTTACGTCAGCTTCCTCATCCGCGATGGCAAGGTCAACGTGGAGTTTGATCAGAATGAACTCCCGTCATTGAGTATGTTCCGTCCACTCTATACAGCATGAAACCATGAAGCTGACTTGGTGCAGGCCCCGTCGACGCAGGCGATGCAGAAGGCAGCGCAAAAACCGGTGCTATGAAGCACCAAGCTATTTTCTCCATGGACATGAAGACCTGGCGAGACATCATCGACACCTTCCAGATTACGACGCCAATGATTGAGCACCGGCAGGAGAGTTCTCAGCAAGGACCTGGTGCAAGGGGCTGGTACAGCTAGCCTCGGCTGAACGTGTATCATTTTCACGGCGTTATGGCAGCGATACCTTTGTGCAATGGAAATTCTGGCTTTGAATACCCTAGAAATTATGCCGTCATCAAGTGTCACGCCCCGAATGCTCTTCACAGAGGAGTCCATCCATCTATCCACGATGCTGCAACGCATCAGCGAGTTGGCTAGAATTGATACCTGTAACGCTCCATGCCACTGTCTCATGGCAGACCGGTTTGCGTTCTGTTTTTGCGTTCTGTTAGCAGAGATTCAATGGGGTGTGGCGCACATCCCCTTGTCCATGTTCATGTGCACGGTCCGCCAGTGTTGACTCTTCAGTCGGTTTCCAGCAACCAACGACCGTGGCATTTTGGCACGTCGCCAGCGAGGGCATCGAGTCCTTCAAAGACGCCATGTCATATTCTTTGACGCTTTGTTCGACTGGCATACTCATTGCTTTCCATGGACTCGCCTTGCAAAATGTGGCACGCGACGCTCTTTGTTCCCCTTGTTCCGAGATATACGTCCGAATTTAGTGGCTCTCGAGGGTGAGAGCTCTCATGACAGGTAGAGAAACCAAGATGGACAGAAATGCGGAAAGCAAACTGTTCTTTGTCGTGAGAAAATGACTTATACACCGTTGCCGAGATGGTCATGCAGCCGTTCTCTGAATTTCTTGATCACAATTCAACACCCCCAACCCATTTTGCCGTTTGAAGCCATCAACTATAAGTCCCCCTTTACTTTGAGATAGCGTACCGCCAACAAGCCCCCCAAAAAGGGAACTCGGCGACCATGAGTGAGAAAGACGAGGACAGGGCTGCCGAGGGCGGTGTCGGAAACGGTTCAGCCAGCAGCTCGTCCCCCGAAAGCCAAAAGCGCCTGTCAGGAAGATCAAGACGCAAGCCCCTGCCCGGCATTTCCACGCAACGAGCCCCGAGCTTCTCCAGCCGCGCCACCGGAACGCCTCTTGCGAGCGGGATCGGCCGGCGAAGCATGGCTGTCGATTCTCCGTTTGGCCGGGTTCCCCTAACGGCGGCCAGAGGCACGCCGAGCCACATGTTCATGTTCGGCGGCTACAGCGGGCTCGAGGAGATGCGGGAGGCGCTGAAGCGGCAGGAGAATATCATTGACAGGATGGTTGTCGCCAAAAAGGAGGTCGCTGCCGAGGCCGAAGACGCCAGGAAGGCCCGCATCGAGGCTGAGCTCAGGGCAGAGGAACTAGAGCGACGGGTGGAAAGCCTGACGAAGCAGCTCAGCATCAGCAAAGCTGAGGGGACGACTGCCCCTAGCGGACCAGTCAGCGAGCAGCTGACGCCCACGCAGCGGGAGAAGGCTCTGCGGGAGCAACTCGTGGAGGCAGACACAAAGATCTCGAGCCTCGAGGCCATGGTGTTGGAGTTGAATCAATCAGCCTTCCGCGCAGAGAAGTTTCTCAGAGAGACCGAGAGCAGGCTGGCAGTGGTTGAGGAACAGCACGAACGTGACAGGGAATCCTGGAGATCAATGTCGTACAGAAAGGGGTCTTACGCCGATGAAACCCAAACGTACACAGGAAAGGGGAAAGGTGGTTCGAGCGGTAGCGAGTCATCCACAAAATCCGACTCCACGGAACAAGCAAGCGACTCAGGAGATGAGAGCAGGAAGAGGCCGCCTCCTTCGACGACTGATGCGTCGTCCAATTGCCCCATCTATGACGAAGAGGATGTGACGGGTGAAGTACACCTGGAGACCTCCGGTTCGGAGGACGACTACCCAGACGACAAGATGATGCGCAGCCATGCACACGTCGGCTTGAACGAATCAGTCACTATGCCTCGAGCTGACTGGGAAGCCATGCTGCACGAATACTCGACGTTGCAGAATATGAAGGAGGTCTTTCAATTTGGCGCAGCAGCACAAGATTCACTTCGTGCGGCTGCTGATGCCGGCCGAGAGAGTGAGTTTCTCGAGATAAGTGATCTCGAGGCCATCTTGGAGGAGAACTTCGAACCGTGGGCACAGGAGGAAAGTGAACAGGAACCGGAGCCCGACGACTCAGTAAGTCCTCGGAGTAGCCCAAACAGGCATCCCTTGATGCTGACCAGCGCGAAGTTTTCAGACAAGGCAACAGTGAAGGACGACGGACAGCAGAGTTCACCACGACCCGAGCAGTGGGACCAGGAGGTGGCCAAATTGGTGAGGACTGTACCTTGTTGTTGATGATAACACATACTAACGAGGAGCTCTCAGCAATCTGAACTTGTTAAAATCGAGAGGGAAAAGTCGACTCTCAGCAAGCAGCTGGCAAGCGCTGGGTCAATGATCAAGGAAATGAAGCGCAGCTCGAACAAGCATACAGTCAATGCAGACGCCACCAACAAGCAGTTTCAACATCTCGACCAGGCCCTCAAAGAAAAACATCAAAGGCAAGCAGCCCTCAGCAGAGCATATAAAGAAAACTCGGACAAAGAACATGTCGACAAGTTACGCGAATCGTTGGCTTCCAGCGCCAAAAAATACAGGCAAGCTTTAACAAGACTACCTGACGTACCTGGCCGAGGACTGGTTCAGGAGCACGACATGTGCCAGGAGGAGGCATCTGCACTGGAGCAACGACTGGGCAAGCTCATGACGCAAGTGGCCGAAAAGTCACAGGAAACGGGGGCCCAACTCACCAAGCTCACCTCCGAGGCGAACGAGCTTGAGATTGCGCTTTTCCAGGCCGAAGATCGATACGCCGTGGTACAAGAACCGCTCCGACAACGGCTTCAGCAAATCAAGCGTGAGCTCGAAGAAGCACAAGAAGCCGTTGCCGCGGCAATCCAAGACCTCTATCATGAGACGCATAAATTGCATGGACGCAAGAACGAAAGGGGTCATGATGAGGAGAAGGACAGAGAGGAGGTACTCGAACAGCCACATGTCAGGAAGCTTGTCAAGAGGATAAAAAGCCTTGAACATGAGTTACGACAGGCCAAGAGGAACCATGGTGAACTGGAAGTTCGTGTTGGAAGGCTTGAGGCGTGGCGAAAGACGACTGCCACAAGGCTTCATGCCACAACAGGGGATCTGAAAGATGTCAAGCAGGGACAGGACGGCGTGCAGGAGAACTTGGAGGGCGCGCCTGAGGGGCCCAAGACAAGCGAGCCGCGGCCGTGGCGGCTCTTGTCAGGCGTGGAATCGAGCCTTCGCAGCAACGTCTCGGCCTGGAGGCGTCTGCTGAGTTTTGTGTGGGCAGGCTTCCTCTATCTCGGGACCTTGATGCATGACTTGGTTTTGGGGACGAATCAGCGAGTGGCGGCATGGTCCAAGAAGATATCCCGGACGAAGCTGACGCAGAGGGGACGACCATCTCGGTGGCCGCAGCTTCAAGCAAGCGATGTGGTCACTGTGTTGTTCCATGTAGCTGTATGGGCCATCATTCTCAAAGCAATTTTGACATGGTGGGCGCTGAAGGAGCAGCAGGACATGTGGTTCAGAGCAAACGGCATGACGAGGGCGTACTACCACGACATGACCGGATGCGATCCCATCATGGTAGATGAGCGATTCTTCAGCGACGGGTTCCGCATGGTCAACCAAGGGCTCGCAGCTATCCCACGATGGCTGTTGCTGGTGTTTGACGTTGCAAGACGGGGTTTGGAGGCGTGTCTCGGCGTGAGGAGAATATCGGCGTAATTGGGATGGATGATGCGGGTTCCAATAGATAGGTATGCTTTGGTAGGCTTACTTAATCTGGTGAATATCACGAACAGAAGTGACAGATTTTGTGACTGGTACTGCAGGACTCTCATCGTCTAAGGTTGCGCAGCCAGGTAGGTCAGTCAGGCAGATGTGTTTTGGCGTTGAGGGAGTTCTTGTCGTTGAGTGATGGTTGAGTCGCTCTTACTGAGCATCAGCCGAGTGGCGCCTCCGTTCGTGAATTTGGAATTCTCAGGCACCTCAACCTCAGACAGGGCAGCGGCTGGAGGGACTGTCCCACTGTGGCTTCGACTGATGACAATGGCTAGGTACGGACCTGGGCCCCAAGGGACCCAGACCTCGGCACCCAGCTGCCAGTGGCAGGTCCACCCGGTACTCAGGTCGCCCTGGTTGCTCGGGTGGTCCGCTCAGGAAGTTGCACCCCAGTGATGTCATGACTCTATTGGCCATCTTTGCACCCAAGGCAGTAGCGAGTCGCAGTGTTCACCTTCCGTCGGTCGACGGACGCGGGGCGGGTGCATTCGTGATCGCAAGCGGCCAGACGTTCCCCCGCTGCCTCCATTCCCATGTCCAAGTGTACCTCAGCAGCAATTCCAATTACTTCCCTGTCTGCAGGCTGCCCCCTGTTTGCAACCATTTGCTTCTGCCGTCTGGACAGTCGTGGCCTCGCATCCCCTCGACTCGAGTCTCAAATCAGAGAATCACACATACTATTACCGACACGCAGCCCATTCGGATACCTTACAAACGGCCCGCATCAACTCATCCGAGGCTGAACATCCAACCACACACCCCAAACAGCAGACCGAGTCGGGGTATTCGTCACACCCGGGAACGCCGTAGAGGAGACCCTGACCGTGCTATCCGAACCAAACGAAGCTCCATCGATCCAATGCCGCCGGCATCCCCACTGGAATTTTCTTTGCTCTTGGTAAGCTCATGTCCCAAGCTCAAGCCCGAGCTCAGCCCTCCGTCTTGCATCATGACCATCATTGTGTTCACAAGTTCTTCATCACCCCACCCTTCTTATATAGGTAGCCTCGTCACCCTTTTCAATCTGTAGCTGACTCTTTACTTTTCCACACAAAAGCGAACTTACAGATACCCATTGCGCAGCACACCTTTACTACGAACACAAACATCTTGCAGCCGAACCTTCCATCGGCGTTCCTTCAACTCGAGCAGCTCCAACCCCAACAGCAGCTCAACTCACAACCACTCGTCGTCATCCAACCAAGCCTCGAACTCAACCCTCAAAGCGCAACATACCGCATTCGACTCTCCAGACCAATCTCTTGCGGATCGCACTTCGTCTCCTGGGTCCACCACTGCTTCAGCCAAAAGCCTGCCCAACATGTCATCCAAACTCATACCTGCCAATCCCGCCGACGTCATGGTCATTCGAGACGTGACGCCCAACATCACCACCTTCTCTGTCCCCTTCTTGCGCTTCGGCACGATCAAGGTTGGTGGTCGCGGAACCCTGGTGCGCTTATCCACTGGTACCCTCGCCATCTTCTCCCCCGTCGCCTTGACCGACGACGTCCGCGCCAAGATCGCCGCCCTCGGCACGACTGTCTCCCACATTATCGCCCCTGACATTGAGCACCACATCTTCCTCTCCGAATGGAAGGCGGCCTTCCCC